AAACGTTTTTTCACTTTTTGTTCTTCGGGGGGCAAACGCGTGAAACTTTCCTATATACCTAACCGTCTTCTTTTAATTAGAAAATGAATATGATCTTAATTGAATCGAAGGGGAGAGCAGCGGCATAGGGACGCTTTTGGTGGAAGGGAAGTTTGGGGGGGGGAGCCATTGTAATCCATAAGCTGTACTTTGGAAATTTATATCATTAAATAAAAGTAAAAAAAAAAGAAAAATGGGATTACATCAAATTGAGAAGCTTCTGTACTGCAAAAGAAACACTCAGGAAAGTGAAGAGGCAACCGACAGAATGAGAGAAAATATTTGCAAACTATGCAACTGATAAAGAATTAATAACCAGAATATATAAAGAGATCAGGAAACTCCACAACATCAAAACAAACAACCCAGTTAAAAAATTGGTAAAGGACTTAAAAAGACATTTTTCCAAAGAAGAAATCAAAATGGCCAACAGACACATGAAAAATTGCTCAGGATTACTAGCCATTAGGGAAATGCAAATCAAAACCACAGTGATGTTTCACCTCACCCCAGTTAGAATGTCTTTCATACAGAAATCAACAAACAACAAATGCTGGCAAGGATGTGGGGGAAAAGGTACCCTACTCCACTGTTGGTGGGAATGTCAACTGGTAAAACCACTATGGAAGACAATTTGAAGATAGCTCAGAAATCTAAATATAGTCCTACCATATGACCCAGCCATCCCACTCCTGGTAATTTACCCAAGGGAATGAAATCAAATAAAAGAGTTATGCATACCCCTTGTTTGTTGCAGCTCAATTCACAATAGCTAAGATATGGAATCAACCGAGATGTCCATCAGCTGAATAATAGGTAAAGAAATTATGGGATATATACACCATGGGGTTTTTACACAGCAGTAAAAAAAATGAAATCCTGTCATTTGCAACAAAATGGATGATGCTGGAAAACATACTTAATGAAATAAGCCAGTCCCAAAAGGACAAATACCATATGTTCTCCCTGATCTGTGATAACTAATAGAGCACCTAAAAGATAATCTATAGAAGCAAAATTGACACTTCAAGATGCAATGACTTTGAATATCCCTTGTTTTGACTGTTGAGGAATAGGTTTTTTTCCATACTAGTTGTTGATCTTTGTACTTGTTATAGAGTTAATCATATGTGTATAAAGTCAATTGAGAAATAGATCTCAGTGAAAAATTAAGAATGGGAATAGGAGAAGGAAGAAGAAGAAAGGTGGGAACATAGGTTGGAGGGTGGATACTGTGTTCCTACACTTGTATTTATGAAATGCATGAAGTTTGCATTCCTTAAATAAACATTTTCTAGGAAAAAAAAAACCTAGTGTGGGGAGCAACTCGGACTAGAGTAAGTTACTGGAATTAAGACTTATTCTATGCATCTGCTCTCCCACAATATGGCACTGAAAGGGAGTAAACAACTTCTACACAGCTGCCTCTCGCCAGTTTGATGAGCTGCAGGAGCTGATCCTGCTCCTGATTGGAGGAGAGCAGCGTGCTCGGCGTGTGGGTAGCAGAGTTGGGATTGGTAGAAGAGGACTATAAAGGAGGAGAGAGATAACATGCACCAGGAACATCCGGATAACATCTGAGCAGCCCCCAAGAGAGCCGGCCGGCGGTGTGCCGCTCCCCCGCGGAAGTGGGGAAAGTGGCAGGGGGAGCCGCCCCTCCACGGAGGTGGAGGGGTCGGCAGCCAACCCAGGAAGGACCAGCAGCAAACCTGGGAAGGGCCGAGCAGATAAAAGAACAGCGCAGGGTCCTGTGTCGTTCCTCCGCGAATGGGGGAGCGACATAATGGTGCCATGACTCGGATAGGAAACCTAGGAGGGAAGAAGCGGGAAAATACCGGAGAGAGGGACTAGCAAAGAGCCTAGGGAAAAGCCGGACGGAAAAAGTGCCAGAAAGCTAAGATTGAAAATGAAAGTGAAAGCTAGAAGAAACAGACTTGGATACAGTGGGGAAGCCAGGAGAAATGAGAGAAATATTGTTGGAAGAAACTTAGGGAAAAAGTACCGGGTAGAGAAAGATATAAGCTAGGGAAAGTGAAGCCGTGGGGGCAGGCCAAAGCGGAGATGTAAGCTAGGTTGGGATTCGTCAAGTCAGCCCGGGGAACAAAAGGCGAAAAACTAAAACCAGAAGCGGAGACGTAAGCTAGGTTGGAATCCGTCAGATTAGCCCGGGGAGCAAAAGACGGGAAGCCAAACCGAAAAGTGGAGATGTAAGCTAGGTTGGAATTCGTCAGGTTAGCCTGGGGAACTTAGACTGAAAACCGAGAAGCGGAAACGTGAGCTAGGCTGTGAGTCACGGAAGCCGCTGCGCACAGAGAAAGTGCGTGGGGCCAAGCGGAGAGAGTGCACGGGGCGCGAGTAGATAGGAGACCGCGGGGCTGGCGCGGAGGCCGTGGTGCAGGCGCGAAAGGCGCGGAGACCATGGAGCGTGCGCGAAGCTGGGAAGCCGCCGTGGGGCGAGGTACCGAGAAGCCGCCTTGGGGCGGCACCGGGAGGCCGCGGGGATAAGAGAAACAGAAATTTAGAAGTAAAATGAGAGAAATAGGAATGCTGGCAGATAGAAGTAAAATAGGAGAGATAGGAATGCCTGGAGATAGAGAAATAGAGAAAAATAAGGCCTCCCCACAACACGGCAATGAGAGGGTTTGGATTCGGTCTGACTGATTAGGCGATAAGCACCAGCAGGCAGCTCGAGCAGAGTATGAGCCGCAGGTCACCGAAGATAGGCACGAATCAACATCAGTAAGTCTCCCCACAATACGGCAATGAGAGGGCTTGGATTCGGTCTGCCTGATTAGTAAGGCGATAAACACTTGCAGGCAGCTCGAGCAGAGCATGCACTGCAGGGCACCGAACACAGGCACACATCAGCGCCTAAAAACCTCCTCA